AATTTTGCCCAATTTCTCTTGCCATAGTTGTTAAGTGAATCATTGCAGTTGTTAAGATAGTAACACATAGTTAAATGAATCTGGTTTCTTCATTGACTTTGCTTGTCAGAAGATAACAAAAGGTGATCACATGACCCCAGGACACTGCAAACGTCATAAATATGACTCAATGGCCAAGCGTCTGAATTGTGATCACGTGACCCTGAAAATGCTGCAGTGGTTGTTAAGTGTGAAAATTGGTCATGTCACTGTTTTCAGTGCTGCTGTTAACTTTGAAAAGTCACTAAGCAAACTGTTGTAAGTCAAGGACTTTTATCTGCCAGAAGTACTCAAAAACAGTGATTTTTCATATAACTACATCACCAAAGCTATTTGTTCCAATGAATTCCCCCTAGGTGTGAAATGGATAGGGTCTACTGCTTGACCAGGGGTGGGACTAGAAGACCTCCAAGAACCCTTCCAACTCTGTTATTCTGTTTTTCTAGTCAGTTTCAGGGGGATCAAGAAAGCCTTTTCCACACTTGTCTTAACGAATTATCAAAGGGCAAGAGGGAGAAGCTTACCTCTGATGGTACGAGTGCAAGAATTGTTGAAACAATCTCAACTGCTGTAGCTAATAACTTGTATTGTGATATTTCTTGAATCTGATTGCTGCATATCTCATGAACTTTTAGACAGGCAGAAGCAGAGCATCTCCAATCTTCTTTCTGAATTGTACTGAATTGCAGAAAGTTTATATATTTTTTGCAATCAAGAGACACCACCAATGCACATTAAAAGTATGCGTAACAAAATAGATTCAAGAGTTCAAAATGATATTGCAATGAAAACTAAGCTTACAGGAAGGTAAAATACATCTCTTCATCTTCATAACCAGTCATACACATCCCCATAGTTGATTCTTTGAATTAGGAAGTCTTCTATAGAAGTCATTTTGTGAATATGAACACCATTCATTCATAATTTTCCAAAGGTGTGCCTCACCTGGAACAGTGGCCTACTATCAAAGTTAAGGGGAGCCCTAACAAAATACTGGTAGTCTTGGGATTACTACAGCAATTGGGTCAATTATAATTGAAATAAAAGCAATTGCCATGGATAAGGGATACAAACGTAAAGCATAGCATAAAGTGATTGCATCACTTAGTGACAGTAGTCCTGTATGCCAGCATAACCCTAGGACTGGGTGGGTCATTAAGGAGAAAGAGGCAGGAGCCCCAGATAAGGAGTGCAGCAAATTGGGGAGATGCTGTGGGCAAGCGCTGGGAAGCATGGAAGGACTGGCAAGGACCGTGGGGGAGCTGACAAAGGCAGCATGGAGGGCCAGCAAGGGTATCAGTTGGGCTGGCAAGGATGGGCGCTGGAAAGCAGGGGAAGGTGTCAAGCTCAAGCAATAGAGCCACCTGTGAAAGGTTCAAGTTGGTATTGCATTTTACCTACTGTACAGGAATTTCCCCAGACTGCTTGTCTTCCCTTGGGAACAGACAAGAATGGTTCCATGGAACTTGGGGGAGGTGGTGTCTGGGTCTCTTGCAGTTGTGCAACAATTCAAGATTAATCCCCTGCTTGATTCCTCCTCCCTGAATGACTCGGTATTCCTCAACAGAGAGCCAGCAATGGCAGCAGGCAGATGTCAAAAAATTGGGGCAGGGAGGGGTGTGTCCATGCAATATCATACTCTATAGTGGGATTCCTCTATAGCAGGGGTGTCAAACTCATGTCATAATAGCAGCGTGACGTATCAGGACTTTTTTCCCCTTCGCTAAACTGGGCGTAGCCAGCACGTAACATATCCAGCCCATGGGCTGGGAGTTTGATAGCCCTGCTCTATAGGAAGGAAGAGTGAGGTCATTTTTTTTCCTTTTTCCTTTCCTCAAAATCACTTCCTACTTTGTTCTAATGGTCTCCAATTCTCCTTTTCTAGTAGAAATATCCCAAACATGAAATGCTAATCATGGCACTGTCACACACAAAAATGGCTTACAAATATTAGTAAACAAAACAAATTAATCTTTCTAACTTCTCTTAAAGTGTTTTTATACATTAATGTTTATGATTATTAAAATAGCATGTAATCTTTTATGACTAGCTTGGGGATCATGAGCAATCCATTTGATGGAGCACTTTATCGTGTACAGAGGCATCATATTTCCTTCCGACAGCAAGGGCCACATAGGCCATTTTGCCTTCTAAGGCTATGCCACAATTGATCAGCAGGTCAGCTTTGCAAATGGTGGTTTCTGAGCATGCTCTCTCTAGAAACTGCACAAACATCAGCTACTTTTCCAATACCCGATTAAATCAAGTATCTCCTCAAATACCTGAGGACCCCAAATCATGGGTTACCATTTTCAGCTCGACAAAACAAAGCTACATAAGTGATTCACTAACAATTTTTCTATTGTTTACTTCAGTGAGGCATGTTCTAAATTAATGCTTAAAAAAAGTACATGCACATTTTACTTACATCTTTTTTTCTGACAGGATGTGCAACAATTTTTTTAACAGCTTTTCTACATCCTAAAACAGAGAAAAAAGATCCAATTAAAAAGAATCAATATTTTAGACAAACATCTCCCAGTCAACCGACTTTGTACAGTTTATTGCCTAAAGTGATTGGTTGGTGTGTGTGTGTATGGTTTTGTGCGCTTGTGTGTGTTGTCGTGCATCTGAATACCTCCATTTGTAAGAAGTACATCCTGTCCTAGAGAAGACTTGGACAATTAATGGATCTAAACATAAATACTGCACATTTATAAACGTTGGATAAATCAAGAATTTTAGTTGTAAAACACCGACAAAAAAAATATTTGGCTTACCCGTGGAAGGGCTTATCTGCAAGTATATGTAGTAATGAGACTTTCCTCTGCTCTCATTTACCTGCGAGTAATTCTCCATTAGCTACCTAAACTTAATCTATGTAACCACTTGCATCTTCTTTCTGAAACCCATGCACTCATTTTGCCAGAGAATGGAGCTTACAACGCACTATTATCTACCAATGGGCAAGAGGAGAAACTAGTGCTCCTAACATACCACCTCTTTCTGAGAGAAAGATGTAGAGAGGGCATTTCTCTGTACAGAATGGTGGCAATGGAGGTTGCAACAATTGGGATTATAGAGGAAAGACTTAGGGAACCCTCTTGAGGGAGTCACAGATGACCAGCTACCACAACTCTGCTCATCATTTTGCAAGCATGCACTATGGAAAGCAGCAATGGAAACAAAATGTTTCCATTGAGAACCTCAACAAATATGATTTTTCCCCTTCTTTTCTCTTGGTTGGAAAGTTTATTTGAAAGTGGATACAGGTAGTCTTCGGCTTCGAACCATTCATTTTGTGACAGTTCAAAGTTACAATGGCACTTATGACTGTAGCATCAGCCCCATAGCACCATGATCAAAATTCAGAGACTTGGCAACTGACTGGTATCTAGGACAGATAAAACAGCAAACTTAAAGAGTTTCTCTTACTGGGTTATTCACCACCTAGTGTCACTTGTTTGAGATGGGGGGGTCTCTAGAAATTGGATGGATGGATGAATATTTGGAAGTGGCTCAGGCAGATACCCCCTTAATTCATTGAAGCATAAGAGGGGAAAAGTACAGCACAGTCAATCTTCCAAGATTCTGCTTTTATACCAATTAAGGTAGTTTTAGCCTTCCTGGAGCTGAATGCTTCGTCTGTTCTGCCTAGTGGGGTAATAACCCTCAAGAAATATTGGGAACCACTGTGTTTCAAAAAGAGAATTCTGTGCTGTGTATCTCCTTAAGGGTACAGGGTATCTTATTATCAGCTCATGATGCTTACCTACTTTTGCCTGCGACTGCCAAATCTGACTGATTACTACCCAAGTGAATGAGAATTCCTTCCACTGGGGAGGAAGTATTCACATAAATGAAATTCTATGACATATGCCAGGACATGCAGTACTACCCTGATAAGAATAAAGCCCCTTGCAACCTACTGTTAATATGGGGCCCTTCCAGATGTGAGTGATGCATACAGGTAGTCCTCAGGTTACAACTACAATTGAGCCCAAAATTTATATTGTTAAAACATTTGTTAAGTGAGTTTGCCCCATTTTATGCCTCTTCTTGCCACAGTTGTGAAGGGAATCATTCAGAAGTTAATAACATGGCTGTTAAGTGAATTTGGCTTCCCCATTGATTGTCAGATGGCCACAAAAGGAGATCACGTGACCCCCAGGACACTGCAAGGGTCATAAATATGAATTAGATGACAAGCATCTGAATTTTGATCAGGTGACCATTAGGATGCTGCAACGGTGTGAAAAATGGTCGTAAGTCACTTTTTTCAGTTCTGTTGTAACTTTGAATGGTCACTAAATGAATTGTTGTAAGTCAAGGACTACCTGTATTGTGAGCCCAAGATATCAATCAATGCAAACAGTATGTTTTGATTGAGGTAGGTTATTCTACCCTGAAGCCAAAAGTAGCAATTTGGTATGTCAAATTGATGCCAGATCTTTAAGTCAGGCCTTAATGGACCAATTTACTGGAATAGGTTAGACAAATCAAGTTCTCATACTTGCTGGTGCATACTTCACATAAGGAGTAATGACAAACTTATGGGCCGAATGTAAGTTGAGCCTCTGATATTTGTCCCTTGCCATCATCAGACAAAGATAATTAAAAATGTTAATTAGAAATCAGAACAAACCTGACAGTTTTGAGAGTCAATTCTCAAGTTGTTCAGTCTATGAAAGGTTCCCAGAAGACAGTCGAATGGATCAGCATAAGGT